TTAGGGATGTAACGATACACTCAACTAACGAATCGCGATTTTAAGTTCCCGATACGATTTGCTCAAGATCTCTTTTTTTTNACATTTCAACAAACAAGTTGCATATTTGCATAACGTATTCAAGTGTTACCATTTAGTGCAATAGTAGCTACAGAACATGTACTGTGTAAACTGTACTGTTACAGTACAGTTTACACAGTACATGTTCTGTAGCTACTATTGCACTAAATGGTAACACTTGAATACGTTATGCAAATATGCAACTTGTTTGTTGAAATGTTAATAAATGGGAGCTTCCTCAAACAGCCATCTCTTTCCCGACAATCCCCTCTGTGCACGAACCCTTACATATGGTAATTAAACATTAAAACACCTGCGGATTATAGTCCAGTGCGGCTTATATATGTACACATCATTCAATTTAGCTGCTGCGGCTTATATTCAGGTGCGCCTTATAGTCCGAAAATTACGGTAAATGTTTATTTAACTGTTGGGTCTTTATCATATTTATTCTGTCATCCTTAGGGCATGAGTGCAGCAGCACTGACGGCTTCAACCGAACCTGGGTCTTGGGATAATAAACCTGCTGCCACACGTTACCAGACATCTCTCTCTGCGGCCACACCTTCAGTGATTCCAAAGACTGTGGATTACGGGCATGGCCACGGTATGAGCAGCAAAGATGTACATATTCGACCATTAACAGATGAAAAGGGTTAAGTTTCAGAACTTTGTTGTTGACAAAAACACTCAATGTTTCAGAGCCTGGAGCCACTGTTGAGCGGATCTCTTATGGTGAGAGGATTGTGTTGAGGCCTGACCCAGTTCTATCAGACCGGGGCTATGAAAAAGGTATATCTCTTCAGGTTATCTTTCTCAACTTGAACAGAGCTAGCTCTTAACCCTGTTCATTGATAAACTCTTCCATTCTCTTAGAACCCCTTGGTCCCAGGGATCCTTACGGCAGAGATCCATATTATGAAAGAAGATCAGACCCTTACATGGAGCGCCGGGAGTACAGCAGAGAGAGGGAGTTATACAGAGAGAAGCCCCCACCTGAATATGAAAGAGAACGATATGAGAGGGAGCGCTATCCACCACGAGAGAGAGATGACAGGTAACATATTTCCTCGTGGCTATAACATTTATTTTTCCAAACTGTAGGGAAGTGAGCTGCTTCCGTACATATGTAATTGTGTTTTTCTATGTGTCTGCTTTGATTCAAGCACACAGTCGATGGTTGAAGAAAGGTACTTTATCACATTGTTTCAATACATTGTGATTAGTGTGCCTGTTTAACCTGTTGGACCCTGTTTTTTTTTTTCACAACACTGTGTCTCAGGGGATTTTAATATTTAAGAACCTATTAATGTGTTATACCAGATTAACGGAAATAATCTCAGCTAACTGACGATACAAACAATTTTTACCAAAACAATACACAAGTCTCATAAGAAGCATCTAAATGACCCCTTAGCGAAAAATGCTAACGGACATTGGCACAGAACTCAAGATAAAAGTACCCTTATTACTTATCGTAGCTGCACATAGAAGATATCCGATTAAAGCTGAGGTTCCACAGATTATTTAGGTATATAGTATCATCACTGAGTGATCCGAACTCGCGACAGGGGAAGCAAACACAGACATCACAACACGTACCTTTACGGAGCTTCTAGGGAGATTGTCTCACCGTAGCTGTCAATCTGATCAAAAGACGTGTTCAATGGCATTAAAACGAGAAAAAACACGGCTGAATCGGTTAATCCATAGGTCTTTAGCATCTCTGTATAAAAAAAAAATTATTTCATTTATAATCCATAATTCCATTTTTATGTAAAAATCGCAGAGCAAAAGTTAGCTGCTAATGGTAGCCACCAGAGTGGCTGCTGCTTCCGGCCTAGGCTATGCGGCAGTCTAACACACACACATTACCAAATAAGGACTATGTGGGAGTTCCCCTCGATTCTATTGGCTCTGACGGTTAGAAAGATATGTCACATGTCAAAATCCAGCAAGGGGGGCCAGATATGGAAAATCCACCCAAATGGCCCCAGAAGAGGTTTTTCTTTGCTAAATCCGTCTAAAAAGGTAAAATATCACTTGTTTTGTATCAATCTTGATACAGGGTACTTATATGTTGTACTTTGGATTCCTAAAGCTTTTAGTCTACTAACCCATCATCCAAGGTACACTATCATTTAAAGTTTTTTCAATCTGAATTTTCTTTAAAATAAAAAACATCTATATTTATTCTGACTTTTCTACATCCAACTCACAGGTTTATCATTACTTTGAGAAAAAAGATTATTAATTTAACCCTCTTAGAAGGGAAGATATGGTCATTTGTTCTGGGAATGTCATTTTCGAGCCTGAAACCTGAAAAATAGNATGTACATGCACAATGTATTTTTTAAGCAGAATTTAAAGGTGGGGTAGGTAAGTTTGAGAAACCGGCTCGAGATACACTTTTTGTTATATTCCATGGAATGCTCTTAACATCCCGATAGCAATGAATATCTGAAGTGCTTTCACAAAAAATCCATAAAAAAATGTCATCTGTGGAAGCCGTAGTACTGTAAAAAGCACGACCAATCATTTTAGCCGGCCCCGCTAAAATAACTGGATGGCCTACCTGCCTGTCAGCCTTCCATCTGTGCACAAACTTATCTCGTGCCCTCATTGGTTATGTGCGCGTTCGTGTATGTTGGAGGAGGGGCTCTGTAAGGAAGTGGCAGATTTGTTCCGGCTGTGTATTTTCAAAAGCGCACTCGAGCTGGTTTCTCCAAAATTACCTACCCCACCTTTAAATGTTGTAGAGGGCCAAGAGGGAGATTACAAAAAACTTGAAAAGTATAACTATGCGACATCTTTAGTAAACTCATTATGTTTTGTTGGCAAAATCTGAATCTGCAAAGTAAACAGCATATCTTTCAAATAAATGTAATGGAGTATCGAAACAGGGTACATTCCTCTAAGAATAAATGTAATATAACTACAAAGTGGAATAAGATGAAAATATATTGCATGCAAACAAATGTACAAGTCTCATAATGATACTCTATTGCAGTTCACAGGTATATCATGTACTTTTTGTTTTTTTGACAGGCAGTCTGTGTACACAGAGTCTATATTGGTGTTTATTGGTATGTTTGTATGATTATATATCGCACCATGTACAATTTGAATTGTACATTGTTAAACATGGACTTGCCCTGACAATTAAATAAGGAAGCAAACATGAAGAAGTGGTCTTACTGCAGTGATGTTAAGGATGGGATGGCTCGCAGCAGCATCAGCACTCTGTAATATGTCTCACAGTGCCTGGTTACAGATCTCTATCTCTCTATTATTTGTTGTGTGCTCACTGTTTCCACCTCTGTTATCTCATCCTCATACACCTCCTGACCACTCGGGTTCCTGCTTGCTGTGATATTCCCAAGGAAGTGCTATATTTACAGGAATAAATCAATGTCATACGGGTTTGGTGAGACTGGATCACCTGACATGAGGAAGGCTATGAGAGAGCACTTGTAACAGAGCCATAGTTGCTGATGTGAACATTAACTCAAACAATAAAAATGTTTTCCAGTGGTACACTCAATACGTCAAGGGAACAATAGGAAAAACAGGATCTTGTGATGATTTGGTACTTTATTTTTAAATTATTCCATGTAATCTCATTTAGTTACTGACAGTAAAAAACTCCAAAGGTTGTATTCATTGTTTTCTTCTACATGATACCAGAGAATCTAGGCCGGAGCAATAAAAAACACTGGGATCTTTACCAAAAATGTAGCCTGTTTATGTGAGAGGGATGAAGATGAAGAGGGTTTAAAGGCTACGCTTGCACACAATTGGTGCACTTAGTGATTGATTTAGTATCTTTGAAGGGAGTGGATGTGTGTCTGCTTCAGCATCACAATTCAATCCATTAAGGAGGTCATGTTTTTCTATAAGTACACAGGAGTGTCATAGAGTATTTGTTTATTTTTGGAAAAGAGGAGCTTTTATATTGAAACTAATTTATCATTAAGGCACTGATTGTATATATAATGTATAGTCATTTTAGGCAAATAACACTATTTGCAATATGTTGACATTCACCGACTTAAGTATGACAAAATCCTATTTGCCCCTCTTTACCATTGTTGTCAGAAAAAGGGAAATATCATAATGCACCGTTTCCAAGATGTACAGTTTTTTTATAACCTGCATAATTACACATCGTTAGACATATTTTGACGAGTGTCTGGGATTATTTTGAAAGAAAAAAAGGGAAGGAGGGAAGTGGATTCATGGAGTGGTGGTAAAAATAACGTTTTTCTATAGTACCATCTGCATTGTGGTGAACGATGAGTCAAGACTGTGTCTGGAGGTGTCTGGTTTTGTGGGTATTTCCCAAAGATGTGGTTCTGGATAGTATTGTGACAAAAACAATTTATACTTACCCTGCAGATGTATATCAAGTAGAAAAACTATGAAAAATATGACTGACTTGTTCACATCTTCAACTAGAGAGGACTATAACATGTTAAGGATATGCTGGTGTTTATGCATAACAAATGACAAAACGTGTGTGTGTAAATACCTGTCATAAAACGTTAGGACAGAAACACACATTTCTTAGTTATAAGAAATAAGTTAAAAAGCTGTTTCATTTTTTTTACCTTGCCTTCAGACGCCCACGCAGTAAGAACTCTGCAACAGTTTGGCAAAGCTGCAAAACCACAAACTGCTCTCCGTCGCCTTTCATCATTCAGGCAGCTGAAGGAAAGTACAAAGAAAATAATGTTTTAATGCAAAGGCTTTCTGGATGATCAGAATAGACAAAAACTAAATGTTTATTCAAAGTTTTTACACATAAAAATGAAAAATAACTCATCACATATTGCCAAACAAACATTACAATTAATCATGGCATCATGTGTATTCAAAAAGGTTCTCTTAAAAAATAAATGCAATCTCAAAAAAATCTCAAAAAGAAGCAAGAAATACAATGAAGTCAATCAATAAATAAAAATAGCTCAAAATAAGGGTTAATTTTGGACATTATTAGAATAAAAGCAGTTGAGCACTTCATCACTTTGTTAAATTTATGATAAGTATTTAGAGGGTCCATCAGTTTAAAAAATATGTCTGACTTTATATGAACTTTTGCTGTATTTTTTTTCCATTAAGTACACTTTTATTCACGTGTCTTGCCATTAGTAGATTTGGGTTGCATTGACTTAAGCACAGATAAAGTTATATTTATACTTTTAACCACCAATATAAATTGACATGCAGCAAGTAAGCCTTTCTACAACTTTCCTATAGATGCTCTTTAAAAACGTTTGGGGGACAAATTAACGTGCTCTGCATACTTGGTCTGCATATCCTGACTGGTATATTTTTTCAGTGTGTCATTATCAAAGCTTATTGTTCTTGGCAGGGACCATTCCCCTCTTAAAGGCTTAAAGTGCCAAACAGGGCAGCACCATGTGTGTTCATGTACTGAGTGACATCTCTGGCTGCCCTCCTGCAGGCCCGAGGAATTCAGCTGAAAGTCTACACCTGCGACAGGAAACCTTGAAACTGTCTACAGAGGCACATTTTAAGGGACCCTCCTGTTTTATGAAATATGTCTGCTTTTCGGCTCAGTTCTGCTTTATTAACCCCAAATGCCCCCCCTTTAGAGTTTGTCATCCATGTAAAGTGACGGTGACGCACAGGCCCCCCCGACCTCCCCTCAGATGCGAGACATAAATCACAGCAGAACCAAATTAGAATCTAAAAAAAGGAACAGAGTGGGGTATTTCGGCGAGCCTCTAATAACTCAGAGGCTTGTTCTCGAACAGTTGAGATGGCAGCGTGCAAAAAACAAATCTCTCCTTTGATAATAGTAATCAATCCAAACCTGAGACTTAATAAAAGGTGCACAGGATGAATGGGTTGTTTTGTATTTAAATAATACTAAAACACAATTTTCCTCAGGCAGCTGGAGGATACAACTTTTATTTTTCTCTGAAATGTAAATGCAGTTCAGATGTGACTTTGATATTTGTAAAGTAATGCACCGGTAGATTTGATCTCTCAGGCAAAAAGCACTTTCTTTCAAGATACGATCCAATCTTTCTAT